CTCAATCATTTTTTATTCTCCGTCTCTTGTCTTTTTTTTTTTTTTTTTGCTTCTGCTTCCTTTTTTTTTTATTCGTTTCTGTTTTTTTGTTCTTCTGTTTTTTTCGCCTCTGTTTTTTTGTTCTTTCTTTTCTTTTCTTTTTTCTGCACTTTTTTTTTCCTTTTTTTTGTTTCTAATTTTCTATCTAATGCATTTCAAAAGCATAGCAAATCCCAGAAAAACAAAATCTGTTCATTATTTCAGATTACCGGAGCACAAACTAAATCACAGTACCCATATCCTCACCCAAACAGCAGCTTCTAAATGATAACCTAAACTTAAAATGACAGTAATTGATTTTGTTAAATTACTCTGATCAAACAAGGAAACAGCCATGAAACCAAGTGACGAACAGGACTGGGGACAAACAAATGAAGGGAAAAAATATATATATATATGTATGCAACAAGAAAACACCCAATAAAAATTTTCTCTAGATTAATATAGCAACCAAGAAAACAAAACAAAAGAAGAAAAAGGAAACAGATGCAGAAAACTAAGATTCAAGACCCAAATTCTTTCATATTCTCAAGAAAACACACCTGTAATGAAGAAAAGCCAATTTATTTATTTGATGTAAACTTCAAATACAAGATTTCCTCCTTCCTTTGCTTCACACTCTCAGATTTCTCTCCTTCTCTTCCCAATTTTCCAATCTCTCTTCCTCCAATTTCCCATCCCCTTAGAAGCCAAAAGCCCCTCCTTTTTATAGACAAAAGTAAAACCCAATCCTAATGTGCTTCTAATACTCAAATCCCAATCCCTAAGATAACAACCCAATCCTATTTGAAATGGGGTTTCTTAGTTTTCCCCACATCTACCCCTTTTCAAGTCTAGATTCATACCTTTTGAGTTTAGAACTCCCCACTTTGAATCAATTTCGAACTCTTCTTTTGTGCCTCTTGTTGATGACTTTCAATCTCCAAAAATCTCTTCAAAACTTGAGTAGATTTAGGGATAAGCCAAGGAAATTTTATGATTTTTCTGTTTGAAAGAGGCTGGAGGCAGAGCAACGAGATGAGTCCTGGGCGGCTAGGGCTCTTTATTTCAACCTACAATCAAAACGACGTCGTTTTGTTGATTCCTCCTTTCAACACTTCAAGTTTTATTTTTTTTAAAAAAAAATAGTCCACTGTCTTCTGATTTTAGCATTTAACCCCAATTAAAATTGGGTTATGACAATTATCATGTCATAATGATTTATGTTTGAGTATGACTCTCAAGCTGTAATATTTGAATTGCATGTATTTTCCACCTTTACTGCCCCCTTCCTAGCAACACACAACTTCTCCACATCATGTTTTTGGTAGTTGTGTAATCATCTTAAACCCTTGGAATCCCGCCTTTGCTGCCCAACTCCACCGGCTTAGCTAGAAGATTTATCTTTTCAAAAAGCTTCGTTGGAGAGTTCACTGTAATCCTAGCTAGTTACCCCTTAATTCCTAAGAAATAAAACTCATTTCATTTCCTTTATAAAAACGTGAATGAAGTTTTCAATATATATAAGCTGTTGTGCAGAATAAACAAGAGTAATGTAGTGCAGAAAAATAAAAGAAAGGGAAGAGAATATCAAGCCATGATTTATAGTGGTTCCTCCAACCCGGAGTATGTCCACTCCCCAAGCCTCCTTGCTCGAGAGTTCAATCCACTAGACATCTCTTGCTTACGGGTGCAAGATTAAACCGGAACAAACTCTTGCTTGCGGGTGCAAGATTAAACCCTCACAAGTAAATCTCAACTCACTCAACCCCTTCAAGGATTATCCGAATCCAAGAAGAATATAAAACCCTTGTAAGACAATTAACCCAAAAGCTCACAAGAAGAGAAAAAGAAGGAGATCCAGAACACTTTAAAAAACAAACCCTGTTTTTCTGTATTGCTGGAGCAGTTCGTCTTTCTTCATTCCCTCAGATCTGATTTTTTATGTCCATTTAATAGTTGGTTAAGAGCCTTGCAATTAAAACCCATTTAGCCTTTCAAAGCCACCTCACAATTGCCCCAATTAGGTTCCACCTTATTCTACTAACTTAGACTTGACTTTGGAAAGTACTCAGACAATGGTTCCCCCAAGGCCCATTAAGAATAAGAATAAACGGATAGATGAGCTGTCAAAATTTAACCTTCCAGAATTTTTTGCTTCGAAGCCAGAAATAATGGTTCGAACCATTTTCGGAAAACAAAAGTTCGTGATTGATTCGAACCAAAATAAATTGGTTCGAATCCAGAACTCTGAACAAGGAGAACATGAATTAATTCTAATCGTGGGGAAAAATTAGAAACCTTGGATTAATTTTCCTGCACACTTAGCACAAAAATAGATTAAACTCTTTTGAATCATAGTTTTAAATCATCATCAAAATACAAAGAGAACCTAACATTCACTACAAGACATCATTGCTTAACAGAATTGGATGGCCTGTAGCATGTAGCCTTCCGCACGTGAGACGGGTGCTGTCGAAAGAACCCTCTCCATTTTCTCGGGTGTCACCCTAGTCAGCTTCCATGTCATCACCGTTGCTGACTCATCCATCTACATCACTAACACCCCCAAACAAAATTAAAAGTCAATTTTTATTTTTTCAATACAAATATATAATGAAAATGTATATTTAATTGATCATGTTAGAAAGACCTTCTATTAAAAGAGAGTTTCTTAATGTGTGCATCTTTTCATAATTAATTTGTATAAAAAAATAAAAATTAACAATAATTTTATTAACTATTTAATTAAAATATTTCATGTGGGATTGATGTTAAAAATAAAATTTACTTGCGTAATTTTTTATATAAATTGTGAAAATATATGAGAAATGCGCTTTAAACATATGCCCTAAAATCCTATTAAAAAACTCATTAAAATAATTTTAACAACTTTTTAAGCTAAGTTTAACATCAAGTTTTCAGTAATAATGAATCTTTACATTTTACGTTTCTACTAAATATAAATTTTAAAGCATCACAATTTATTAACTTGGTATGTATACTTACCAATACATTATATAATATAGTTAACCTCTTTAACTAAAAATTGCTAGTTCATAATAGTTGGGCAAAATGTGAATTACTATAAAAACAAATAACTATGAGAGATAATATTAGAAATAAACAGCATAAATGATTGAATTTGAAAGAAGTGGAGCAAGACGTTGACTAAAGGGTGCTTCTATCCTCCTAGTTGGCAACATATATGGAAAAAAAAAAATCTAAGAAAAGCTTCAACAATTGACCGTTTATGGATTAAACGGTTCAAATAGATGACTAAGGCAACTCCGTTAAAAAAAGGATGACAACAAACAAAATAATCGGAGTACAGGATGACATTTAGCGCTTTTGGTGAGGTAGAGGGTGACAATGAACAAATCCTTAGTAGAGGGATGGAAATGAATAAAAATTAAAAGTAGAGGGATGACGGTTAGCTTTAACCCGATTTTGTTTCGCCCAGGATGCCAATTGCTTAGTTCTCCTTTCATGAGCTGACGTCATTTTTTATTCTTTCTTTTTTTAATAGCTGGCAATGGGCATGGGCGGGCTTTGGTTAAGGCCATTTTAAATTTGTTAAGTCAATTAAATTGTTAAATTTTTTAATTTAATTTGTTTGTTAAATGTAGTTGATAATTAATAAATTAATTAATATTTAATATTAAACATATTAAAATTAGTTTATTAATATATATTTTTAAGGGTAAATATTAGATTTAGTCCTAAACTTTTAGTATAAATATTAAATATTGTTTCAACCTTTTATTTAGATTAAAAATGATCCTAAACTTTTTAAACTACTAAATCTAATTTTATTGTTGGTCATTTTCATTAAAAATTCATAATAAAAAATCTTAATTAAAATTTTGGAAAGCCCAACCCTTATATATATATATATAAAGCTTCTAAATCATTTTTTTCTAGCACCAAACATATATTTTATTTTCTTTAACATCATTGAACTTTACATTTTTTATTTTTTAAAAAACTCCAAAGATCATGTTTCTGTTTTTTTTTTCTCCTTTTACATAATCCAAAGCACCTACTTCAATCTTACAAACTTTTGACATAACTTAATAGTGTAATAATATAATAAATTTCATATCTTAAATAATTTTTAATTACAAATTATTTATCATCCAAATTTCTATTTTATAAAATACATCAAAAAATATTTAAAAAAATCCAACTCAAATTATAGATTTCAGTTAGTAAAATATAGATAAATCCTTATCTATAGAATAAAAGAACAATCTCAAACTTTTTTTCAAAAAAGAAGAGTTAAAGTGTGTAAAGAATCCCAAATTTAGTAAAAACAATTTTATGGCAATGAAAATTAAAAGAAAATTATGTAAAAATTTCTAGTGGAGCTCTCAAAATTATAGTTAAGATTTTCTTTTAAAAATTAACAAAAGTAACTAGTCCTAAGATTAAGTTTGGTAATTTTGAAAAGGTTGGGAACCACTTGTGGTCAAAATGAAAGGTTGGGACAATATTTAGTATTTATGGTAAAAGTTGAGGACTAAATGTGGTATTTACTCTATTTTTAAATATCGGACCATGATTGGTGCACACCCAGATCCAACACCCGGGTGTGCACCTCCACATAAAAAAAAAAAAAAA